CGACCATGTCCAAGGTGTAGGCTCTGGGCGTGACAGCCATAAACCATGTAGCCATCATGGGTAGAAAAAAAGTCATACTTTTTAGATGATTCCTTTAGTGCATTTTAGCATAGACTAGTGGACTCACTTAGTAGTTCATGTTCTATACCCCCGGCAAGGTATAGGACGTCCTTGATAGCGTGAGACAAAATGATGTATCATCACGATAGCTCTTAAGTGATGGTCATCAGTTAGAGAAACTCCCAAAGTAGTATTTTGTATTTTTATATACATCAGAAATATTTGTATTTTCATATACAAACAGAGTTCATATTGTATCTTTGCAAACATACAGAGTTATTATTGTATTTCTAAATACACAGAGTTAAAAACCATGTTTTAAAGCTTTTCTTTATATTGCATTTATATACACTACTTTGTATTGAAATCAGTTCAGTTCATTTCAGTTAAGTTCAGTTGAGCCAGGTAAGTTCTTCACTTCCTTTCAAGCTTATGTTCTGTTTTAGAATTTCTCTCGCATACTCGTACATTCAATGTACTGATGCCATTTGTTCTGCATCTTATTATGATGCAGACACATGTAATCAAGATCAGCATCCAGCGCATCGTTGATCCTATTGAGCACTCAGAGTCAGTTGGTGAGCCTTATTGCTTTCCGGATGATCCATTTGGTTATGTTTTGTTTTATTGCTTGCTTATTTCAGTTGTTAGGATGATCGGGGGTCTTGTCCCGATATCCTTCAGAGTTTAGAGTCTTCATAGACAGAGTTAGTTAATGTTAGTTCATGAGTCTTTACTTTTCCTTTTCAGTTAAGCTGAGACTTGAGTTGCCACTTTGGCAGTGAATGTTATTTATTGTATTCTCAGTTATTTATTGAACGTTTTAGTGTACTATTTTAAAAGTATTTATCTTGAGTAAAGTCTTCCGCTGAGTAAGAAAGTTAGGCCAAGGGTTCGCTTGGGGACAACAATGGTTCTCGAGTGTCAGTCTCGCCCAGGGTGTAGGCTCGAAGCGTAAAAAACTTGGTATAAAAGCACAAAGTTCAAGAGTCCTAAGGGGCCCATGAAGCCGAATCTGTAGAGTCCTAGTTATCGGTGTGAAGCATGCCACATCTATAATTATGAGGCTAAAACATTTAGGAAATTCCTTCACTTCTTTCATACTCATTTCGTGCGTTAGAGTTTTTATCTCTAAAAAGTTTCTTTCTAACTCGTGCTTGCACGTAATCGATTGTGAGTTGGATTGTTTGAGAGTGCTTTCATGGGGCATTTCTTTCCCCGTGAGCTAACAGAAGCAAAGATATGGTTGTTAACATAAGGAGTAGGATGAGTTTATTCGTTGTTGGGTTGACTCATTTGTCAAGTAAGGTAGCCATGCTAATAGGTTACATGGGCATAACAAGACTGATGATCCATGTGTAACAAGTTGAGGAGGACCAGCTGAAGGATAGAGAAAAGTTTAAGAATAAGAGGGCTAAGACATCAGGGAATGAATTCGGGCATCAAAAAGAGTAATGTGAACCGGTCTTCTTTCCAACATAAGCAGAAAGGACATTCTCTATCATCTGCTAGTGCCCCTGCACCAAGGAACAAATGTGAGTACAACAAACAAACAACAACATACCCAGTGAAATCCCACTAAGTGGGGTCTGGGGAGGGTAGAGTGTATGCAGACCTTACCACTACCTATTGTACAAATGTGAGTACAATAGTCAGAATTCTCAGAACTTCAAAGGTAGACCTGCGCATTCGCAAAGTAGTAAGGCACAAGAGGGTACTAAGACTCCTGCATGTGCTAAGTGTGGTAGAAGTCACTCAGGGGTGTGTCGTGATGGTTCACTGGTTGCTTCAAGTGTGGCCAGAACGGTCATTTTATAAGAGAGTGTCCTAAGAACATGCAGAGTAATGGTAATGGAGACAATGGAGCCCAGCCTTTTTCAGTTGCTCTACCAGACAGAGCTGTATCTAGATGAGCTACTTCAAGGGCAAGCGGAGGAGGAAACCGTCTTTATGCTATCACTAGTCGCTAAGAGCAAGAGGATTCGCCAGATGTTGTCACTGGTATGATCCAAGCCTTCAATTTTGATGTTCTTCCTAAGCAACTTCTTGAGCCCTTCAGTGTTTCTACACCTGCTGGTGAATCTATTCTAGCAGAGAGAGTCTATCGTGATTGTACCATTTTCCGTCAATCACAAGAGTATCATGGCTGACGTAGTTGAGTTGGACATGGTAGTTTTTTATGTCATTCTAGGTATGGACTGGCTTCATGCCTGTTATGCATCAATAGATTGTAGAACTCGAGTGTCAGTCCTGCCCAGGGTGTAGGCTCGGAGCATGACATGCAACCTACTACAATTGATCGTTAAGAATTCTCACATCCGAATAGGGATAGGAATTTGGTCACCTTATATAGAGTTGGACAATCCTCTTCTCAGAAGCTAACTTTTTGGGTTGAGTTAAACTCAAGATCTATCCTTACATTGATTAAGTATAGTTTCTATTTTCTCTCTTCCATGTTATATGACATATTTTCCTTTTTAGCTATTTTTAAAAAGAATGTTATTTTACTATAATTATAAATAATTTAACTTTAAAAATTCATTTTATTCTCAATGATAAAATGAAATTCTATCACACAACCATCTAAAATTGTTTTAGACCATAAATTTTGATAATCTTTTTAAAAATATCATATTAAATAAACAAATATGACGTAAAATGAAACGGAGAAAATAATATTCTCCTTATTCATCGAACATGAAGAGCCAAGGGGTAAACAGATGTGGAAATAATATTACATGGTCCATTACAGTTGTTCAAAATAAATGTCTTTAATTTCAATTTGGAAGATTGGACCCTTAGTTTTCTATAATAAGGAACAGTATTGATCTTTCAATAGTTCTATTCTATCTAACTTGGTTGCTCATAAAAGACAAATTGAAAGTAGGCAGTTAGCTGTCAGTTATGTTGGTACAGATTACCGTATGGGGGTGAGCAAGAATTTTGCACCACTATATAATAACAATAACATATTCAATATGATTGTGTGAGTAGAATTTATATAGGCGCTATATATTTATTTAAGGACACGAAAATAGTTTCCAATAGATTCATGGTTCAAAAATTTTTGCACCAGTATATAATAACAATAACATATTCAATATAATTATGTGAGTGAAATTTAGATAGGCTTTATAGATATATATATTTAAGGACACGAAAACAGTTTCCGATAGATTTATGGTTCAAAAAATAATTTTCCAAAATAAATTTGAAAAAAAATACAAAAGTAAAATTAAAAATTATGATAAAAAAGTATATTAACAATAAATAGTAAAGATAAATAAATATAAAAAGATACAAAAATTATACTACGTACTAAAATTGAAGATTAAGATAATTTTAGCATACTAATAATAACACTGATATATATATATATATATATCTATATATATATATATATAGATGTTCTAGACTAGAACTCTAATCTACCACTAGAAAAAGAGATAATTTTTACTAACTACTAACTGTCTATCTTAATTTTTGACCTATGCTATTCTATATTTGGGTCAGGTCCAGGTAAATTATTTTTTAAAATTAATTTCCCAGTAATATATCCCTAGTCACGCTTGTTAATTAGTAGAAGTTCGTTACTTATTAAAGATTAATAAAATAAACTCTAACCCTTACTGATTCATGAGATTTTGTATCTTTTAATAAAAGGCCGTCAGACACTCTTGTCTAGCGGTATAAATTGGAGTAAAAAAGAAAGTAATCCCTAATTGTTGTATTAATCCTAAAAAAATCAGCACCAATCATATAGAAGGAAGTGGATATTGTCATATCTTTGACTTCAAAATCTTAGCTGCAAAATAGAACTGAACCTAAAATTAATTCCAAAAAATTACATCTGACAACTAGTTATTTTTGCAAGGATTATAGTCACCAAAAAGTAAGCTCAACTTTTCTGTCATATTATATTTAATCATCTCTCTCAATTCTTTCTCAATCTACTTTTACCTCGCTTGTAACTTATCACCGCCTCTCACACCTCCTGACTATGACATATGTACTCCTCTTCTTCGGTACATGTTCAAACCATCTCAGTTCCGCTTCATGCCTCTTGTCCACCGAAAGAGCTATTCCCTACCTTATTTGTATATCTCCGTTCCTAATCTTGTTACTCCTAGATAGTCAACACATCCATCTAAACATCCTTACCTCTAATACCTTTATTTAGTGAACATCTTGACTGACCAACACTTTACGCGTACAACATAGTCGATCTAACAACTGCTCTATAAATCTCAACTCAAGCATTACTTATACTTGATTATGAAGAAATAATATATTCATTGTTACAATTTCCCAACACAAAGCACCTAATATTTTCTAATAAAATTAAAAATCTATTGATCGATAAAAAAAAATGGGACCTAAATCATACAGTACATAGGTTCAATAGCTTCACGTTGTAGCCTAGCCAGCAATGTAATTATCTTTTTGACACAAATGATTGGTTCATTTAATGTCCACGCCACTTCCCCAACTGCTCAAAAGGCATAACCATGCATACAGCCTAGCACATTTTAAACCTTAATTGCTTCCACTGACGAGTGATTACGCCTATATATACCTTCATAAACTCTGAATGAGGAAGTGCACAAGTAACCTGACATACTTTCATAAACTCTGAGTGAGAATCTTTGTGATCATAGTCATGGGTTCTTCTTCTTACAATTGGGTTGTAGGGTTACTTCTTTTCTTGATCATTTTCTTGGAAATGAGTGCTGTCACTTTTGGTGATGATCATAGCCTTGAAGAGTCAAAGGTGGGTTATAATAACGGTTGTAGATATGGTAGGAGAGGTTGTGCTGGACGGGGTGTACATAGTCCAAGGAGAGGTCGAGGAGGTGGTGGTGGTGGAGGAGGAGGAGGAGGTGGAGGTGGTGGTGGTGGTGGTAGAGGAGGGTCAGGTTATGGTAGTGGATTCGGAGCAGGATTTGGAACAGGAGGTGGTGGTGGAGGTGGTGGTGGTGGGGGAGGTACCGGAAATGGTTATGGATATGGTGGAGGATTTGGAGCTGGAGGTGGTTCTAGAGGAGGAGGAGGTGGTGGTGGTGGAGGAGGAGGAGGAGCAGGAGGAGGGTCAGGCTATGGTAGTGGTTTTGGCGGGGGTGGAGGGTTAGGAGGATTGGGAGGGGGAATGGAAGGTGCGAGTGCTGGAGGAATGGGTGGCGGATTTGGTATGGGCATTGGTATAGGAGTTGGAGCTGGAGGTGGAGGTGGTCAAGGTGTTGGAATAGGGACCGGGTTTGGTGGTGGTGGTGGTAATAATGGCCGTACATAAAATCTCTTGTAGCCTAATAGCTACACTTGGTAGTATCGAGATATTATGTCACGTTGTTTTGGTAATTAAGCAAATAAGTTTGAATTTACTAGCTTTTGCATGCATTGTGTTTTCCCTAATTCCCATTATTGTATCATCCTCATATTAAGAAAATAAATAAATTCATTGTTTTTCATCTTATATATATATGTTTAATTTCTTCTTTATGTTTTGATGAAAGAGTAATTAACACTACATACGTCGATCCTATTTATGACAAGTATTTCCTTTAATTCCCATTATCATTATCAACTACTCCTAAAAGCTTTAATTAGGTAAGTTAAATAGCTAGCTCAAGTTTATTCCTTCTATTGGAATTTGAAATGTATATGTTAAATCCACATTGCAAGTAACGTGTTTTTTTTTTTCCATAAAGAAGTATGAGAGCCAAAAAATTTACTAATATAATACAAAATATAAAGAAATAACTAAATTCACAAATAAGTTAAAAAGAGATATAACATCTACTGTATATACATTAAAAAAATTGATGTATACAAGAATTGACGCAGTGAATAAATCTCACCCAACCGTTCAGAGATTTTGGTAGAATTTTATAAGTCAACTTGGAAATGGTAGACATTCTTAAAATGTATAGGCAAAAAATATCTGGCCAAAAGATTATACTTATTATTATTATAAATATAAAAATCAGCAATTACTTAGAAAGTTCAAGCTAGCCTTTCTCTACCTCCATGAGTGAGATATGGGTAAGGTTTGTGTACAATTTTTCCTCTCCATATTCTACATGTAGAATTACATTGGTATGTTGTTGTTGTTGTTCTAGCTAGGTAGCCTTTACATCGACAAATAAAATCGGAAATAAATTAAACGGCAGTACACTTTTCAGTTTATTTTGTAGTCTGCCAATTAGTAATGTAAAATGGTAACATTACACTGAATAACAACGTAATGAATTGCCAAATCAAAGTGAATAGTCTCAAAAGTTGCATATCCACGAGCAAGTCTAAATTTTCCAGTACCACCAACAATTGCCACTTCTCTTACTCTTTCAAATTGAGGACTAGCACCTTGAATTTCCAAAGTGCTACCTTTATATTCATTATTGGTGAAAATAATCGATATTAACACATGAGAAATTTTGCCATCCAATGCAGACGTAACATATATGCCCTGAGCTCTAGCGATTTCCGCAGAGTTTTTATCGAAGGCTTGTGTTATTGGATCATCAGTAACGAAAACAGAACCAAATTTGGCAAAACTTAGAAGACCATGATCTTGATGGCCTGTTATTTGTAGCACAGTAGCATTTGGACCACCAGACCAATCTTGAAAATATAGTGTCATGTTTGTTTCTTTAAGTTGGTCATGTAATATGGCCTTTGAGGTTATGAAAATTGTTAGAAGAAAAATGAGGGATAGCTTGATTGAATTTGTTGCCATGGGGTATGTCACTTTTGATTCTTGTGTTATTTTGTGCTTTGATTTTGGTAAAATTGAGTTGGTATTTATTATGCAACTTGGGGGTTGGGTGGGGGGTGGGGGGGGGGGGGGTAATTGTTTCAAGAACAACGAATTTGGTGTATTTTATGTTCCATTGGTTTCAACTTATGTGAATCTATATATTTATTTTTTTAGTTTATTCAAAATGAAAAAATAAGATAATTTAAAGTATTCATTTTACCTTACTGAAAAGCGTTTATAGTAGTACAAATATTATGACATATTTAAGATCAGAAGTTTCAAATATTTTTATTTTTTGGGAAAATGCATAAGTACCCCCAAGCCTATGCCCAAAATCCCTGAGACACACCTAACATTTACTAAGGTCCTATTATCCCCCGAACTTATTTTATATATAATTTTTTATCCCTTTTCGGCCTACGTGGCACTATCTTGTGGGCCCAGCGCGTGTTGACAATTTTTTCAAGGATAGTGCCACGTAGGCAGAAAAGGGGGTAGAAAATTAATTAAAAAATAAGTTCGGGGGGTGGGGGGTTAATAGGACCTTAGTAAATGTTAGATGTGTCTCAGGGATTTTGGGCATAGGCTGGGGGTACTTATGCATTATTCCCTTATTTTTTTCATAAATTCGGTGTTCGGTCAAATAAATTGACAGAAATTGAAATGAACGGAATGTTTTATTCAAACTTTGAAAATGTTGTTTGAGAATATGATCGTTTCTAAGAATCTTATAATTTAAAGATTATTGTGTCAACATCTCACTGATTATAACTAAGAAAAGCAATTAGTGACAAATATAGAATGGTATAGGTTCGATACTCTCTTTTGTTTTTTAGTGGGAATTCTTATTTTAGATAGAATTTAGAAAGCTAGTTATTCTCCCTTTCTTTTTCACAAATATATACCCCCCCCCCCTTTTAGGTTTTAGTAATTTATGTTTTGGTCCAATAATTTAATTGAATGGTACCACTTTAAAAAATGCATTTAAATTGTTAGGTGTAAACCTACTACAATTGATTATAATTTATAGTAATTTCTGTACTCATAATTGAACACAAAGGCACAGAAAAATGTGCGAATAGTTTTAGATGGTACATTACAGTTGTTCAGAGTAAATGGCTTTGATTCTGGAAGATTACGTCGTTTCCTTTGATGTTGACATGTTTCACTTGAGCATAGTATTCATTAAAAATAACATCTCTCTGAGTTTTACAAAGGAATAGAATATTAATTAAACAACAGTCAGACTATAGTGAATATGCATGATAAGTTACACTAAATTGTCTATCTTTAAAGAAACTCATTTTGGTAATCAATTTCGGGTAAGAAAACTGTTAGTATAAGATAGAGAAAATGGTCTAACCCCTCCCCCCTCCTCAAATCTATATCAGAAATTTCAACTACACACATCAATTTTACGGGTGTCTTATCACCTCCGAATATTTTATTTGTCTATTTACTACACACTTGAGTGCTGCCCAGTCCACATAAACGTGTTTGCACGCGCGGGTCCCTACCCACTTCAACCCCCAATTCTTATTTTTTTTCTCTATTTCTCTCCTAAAAACGTAAGAAACCCCAAAGAGAAGCTTTTCAACTCCTTTTCTCCATTTGAATCGAAGCATTTATGGTGATGATTGAAGCATTTTTGTGTGTATTCATCCATACAAAGCTTATTCAAGTTTTCAATTGCCATTTTTAACGAATTTCGAGAAAATTCAAAATTCAAATTAGAGACCCTAAATAAGAAATTGGAGTAGATTACAAATCCTAACTTCAAGATTTAAAGTAGAAATGAGCATAAACAATTAAAACCTACCTTAAATTGAAAGAAAAACGTGAATTTTTTTTAAAAAGGAACAAGGGTTAATGGTGGGGAAGAAGGAAAAATGGTTTATTTAACTTGGGGAAGATGACCATTGGAGAAGTACACTTTTTTTCGTCAAAATTTAAGGCTATTGCCTCTTCTCACGCACCTAGAGAAGGTGTTCTCACCTCCTATGACAGGTCAGCACTCAAATGTGTAGTAAATAGACAAATAAAATGTTCAGAGGGAGTGATAGAACACCCGTAAAATTGGAGTATGTAGTTAAAATTTCGGATATAGGTTAGAGGGGCTTTAGACCATTTTCTCTATAAGATAAGATGATATTAATCAGTTATATAAAATATGAATTTGACTATATCTTGGTAGTATATCTAAAATAGTCATATTCAATTAATATATATATATATATATATATATATATATATATATATTTTATTAATTCAATTAATAAAGAATAACATGAGAAAAAATAATAATAATAATACGGAACTACTAAGATAATATAATCATAGGGGAATTTTTCACAAATAGCCACTATAATAAATTTAATTATGCTTCATAGCTATAGTTTGCCTATTTATGGGTTGTAGCTACAATTTAAACTGCCTCATTTGTATAATACGCAGATTTGTATAATTCGCGGGTTTGTATAATGTTTGCCTATTTACGGGTTGTAGCTATAATTTAAACTGCCTCATTTGTATAATACGCAGATTTGTATAATTCGCGCGTTTGTATAATGCATGGGTGAGTTTGTATAATTCGCGGGTACGTTTGTATAATTGAGCTATTTTTGTATAAACTCAAAATGACGAATTTATACAAACACAAACATCTAAACTTTAAACAGTTATACAAATTATATTATACACATTCCGAATTCTACAAATGTGCAAAATATACAAATTCAAAACTCCATCCCACGTAATTATCACGAAATATTGGTTGCGAGTGGCTTGTAATTAACTAAAACTATAACTATGATGACTAATTAACTAGTAAATAATTACTTAACCATATAATTTTCCCATAATATAATTAGTCATAGAAATCATAAATTTGAATATTTGAGTATATCCTGCAATATATCTAAAATATTCATACTCAAGACAACACATTATTAAATACGATAATGAAGGATTACGAAAAAAAACAAATTAAAGAACAAGAAAACAGATTGACTAAGAGCCCAGGGAAAATTACGTGGTTAAGCAAACTTATATTATTTAATTACTCATCATAGCTATAGTTTGCTATAATTATCTCTCGCGACTAACATTAACTATTAATTACGTGGGCTGACTTCGAGTTGTATAATTAGCCATATTTGTATAATTCGCCACATTTGTATAATTCACTACTAGCAATTGTTCTTGTTTATGATGTTTTATATTTGTATATGACGATGATTTCCTTTGATTTTTCAGTTTTGTCACCATTTACATTCAATCTTTTTGTGTATAACCTTTTAAAGTTTGTATAAACGTGTAGTTTTCGAATTTTGTATAATTAATTTATATAATATAATGTAATTGTATAATTGTTTAAAGTTCATATGTTTATGTTAGTATCAATTTGTTATTTCAAGTTTTATCATATTTGTAAAATTCTAGACTTTATATTACACAATTATACAAAAATACACGAATTATACAAGCGTAGCCGCAAATTATACAAATGAGATGTGAAGTATACAAACTATTGCCCTCTCGCGCTCGCCTCTCTCCTCCCTCTCCCAATGTCGCTTGCCATATATACAAATGCATATGTATAATATACAATTATCTAACTGATATACATATGCAATTCATCTCTCTCCCACTCTCTTCCCTCTCTCGCTCGCCTCTCTCCTCCCTCTCCCAGTCTCGCTCGCCTCTCTCCTCCCTCTTTCAATCTCCCTCGCCTCTCTCCTCCCTCTCCCAATCTCGCTTGTCATATATACAAATACATATGTATAATATACAATTATACATATACACTTCACCTCTCTCCCACTCTCTGCCCTCTCTCGCTCGCCTCTCTCCTCACTCTCCCAAACTCTCTCGCCTCTCTCCTCCCTATAACATGTAGCTACGAATTGTAATTATCAAACTATAGCTATGGAGAGTAATTATGATATTTTTATATGGCTATATGCGAAAGTTCCTCATTATAAAATCTTTTTAAAAAAAATAAAATTTATGATTGTCACGTCATTAAACAGTTATCAAAAATTATATTTAAAAAAATAATGACCAGAAAAGTCAATTCAATAAAGTTGAATAACTTTTAAAAGACATAACAAAGTTAAATAATTGAATGCGATGATCAATTATCTAAAATTGAGTGAAAATCCAAGTTTTTTACCCTCCAATATCTACTTCCATATTATAATCAATTTGGATAACTAAATCTATGTTGATCTGCTTCAAGAAGTTGCACTAAAATGTCTTGTGTCACATGTAGAATAAGTCTTTTCTGGGGAGCTTGAAAAAGAAAATTAGATCTTTCTAGAATTTCATTTTAACCTCTCATACATCATACATGATTATAATTTTACCTTATATAAAGTAAAATTTACAAAAAATATCATTTTTCATTTATGCTATGACTCTTCTATATAATTGAAAAATGAAATACTATTCTTGCTTTACATAGACATATAAGACTTAGCTTCCCTATCCAAAATTTAATTTTCTCATGGAATTTGTCATATTCGATCAGCAATCAGATTGAAACCCCAAGAGAAAACTAGAATTTGACAATTCAAATTAATGTTTTGCTGGAATTAATTGATTGTACATTATATTTATATATATATGAAATTTAATTTCCTAACAACAAAATTATATATTGAAACTAGGAGTTTGTTACAAAAGACTTACATATTGGAGGGATACAAACGAGTGCATCTATGTGGAGAAAGATCGATAAAGGATCTCAAGATAAAGGTGTTTTCTGGTATAAAAACAAGCTTTGAAAGATGAATTCCAAAAATTACTTACTTAGCATAGGTTATATGTTCAGCTCGAGTCGTGGTAAGTATTTTGAATTGGAGTTTAAACTTTATACGTTAAATGTTCAAACTTCAACTGAAAATACTTGCCACGACTCATGCTAAATCATTTAACATATCCCAAGCAAATAGTCTTTGGTATTCACCTTTGAGAGCTTGTTTTCGTACCAAAAAACACAT